TCAGCTGTGTAAAATCATTAAGTCCATCAAATGAGTAAACATTGTGAAAATTGCAACGATTAAACTCAATGGAGGTTAAATGATTATTGTAAAAATTAAAGGCGTCTAATGAAATTTTTAATGATAAAATATGTGTTCTTGATTTCGTTTCATTCTTCAAAACTTTGCTTCTAGAAAGGTAAGAAATATGAAAATGTTTAACAAAAGGTAATGAAGATGGTAAAGATGTTAAAAGTGATTCGAGTTGAGAAAATTTTGAAACATTAGGGTTCGCAATGAAACCAATGCTAAACTTTTCGACATTTGACACAAATGTTGTATTATTAAAAATCAATTGAAAGAATTTAGGTAAAAAAAGACCATGAGAAGTAGTGATTTTCAGATTAAAATCTTTTAAGGAAGCGTTATTGATCATAAAAGATTTCAATAATAAGCTACAAATCATATCAACAAATTTCTTTAACCTTATATCATTATATCCGATTTCCACTTCCTTTCCAATATCAAGAAAAGTGATATCATCCGGTTCAACTTTGATTGTGGAAGGAGATGATGTAATATCGGCATCAAGGTTATTTGCCCAATTAATTGCATGCAATTCCATTCGATATGTATCAAGTGATTTAATAAAGGAGGGATAAATAAATAAAGGGGTTGAAATACGTTTGAATTTAACCCCAAATTTTATTAACTGATTTCTATCTAATTCACTAAAAAATGAAAAGTAAACTTCAAGGAAATCGAAACGCTTTCCATTTAGACATTTCAATGCAAATGGTTTCTCCCAGAGTATTGGAATAGTCATTCGACATAAAAATCGATTGACCAAAATACATGAATAAAGTGATTTTAAATCATTTCGTAAATATTTTATAACATAAAATGTTAGTTCTGGTAAATCACCGGAAAAGATCTTTGAGAATGGCATGGTTAGAAAAAAGTAAAGTGGGAAAAAGTGTCTGAAAAATAAGGATAGATTTTCATAATATTTGGTATTTCACATGTTTGGCGTCAACTATGCATGATTACATCATGTGGTTCCGGGTAAATTAGTCGATCTTGTTTTAAATACTACAAACAATGTACAAAATTTACACAGCTACATGTGATCAAAAACATGTAAAAAGACTGGATCAGAATTTAATTTGTTATGAATTTAAGCTCATTTCATTTAATTAAAAGTCGCTTGTTTAATTCAAAACGAAATTTTTTTGAATTTCTGATGAAACTTTTTCAAGATCAAAATTTAATTAATTATTTTGCTAGTATAATCATTTAACATCGCTTTGCATATCTGTAATTGTAATTTATTATTCTATTTCCAACATTAAAAACAAAAATATATATATATATATATATATATTTATACATTACATTATTTTTTTTACAATGCAAACATCTCTTAAATAAAATAGTTTTTAGGTGTAATTAAAAAGAAAATATTTTCACATTTAATAAATTATAATAGTATTAAAAAGAACTCCATTAATTTATTTTGTTCTTAATTATCTAGGCGCGTTCATGGATAAAAAAAATCTCCCAAGATATTAGAATTCATTGG